GTCACTCAGGTGCTCCACAAGTCTCTGTTTTTAGAAAGACTACCTAAGGGTAGTCAGTCCAACCTGTCCTTTTTGTCTATGCCACTAACTCAAAGGATGACTGTGAATGGGAGTGAAGAACCATTCAGAGGTGTTGACAGGTATTGTGTCAGGGCATTATAGGAGCTGGAGTCATCTCTTGTTTCCAATAGACTTTTGGGGAGGGTTGAATTGTGGTCTGGGCTGTCTGACAGGGAACGGCATATCTACCGTGTCATCTAAGATGCTTGCAACAGTTTGGGAGAGTTGCCTCATGGTCTTTTCCTTGGGGAGAAAGCCCCTAGGGGCAGTTCTGAAAGACAATGTATGATTAATGTTCCCATCCACTCCTCCCTATGTCCCAGGGTTTATGGTGTCCCTCCTTAGGGTTGTTGCTCTCCATTTGTCTCTACAAAATCAGTGTCCATTCTAGTAACTATACCTCACCTCTTTCCTAATTATATCCACTTCACACCCACATCTTTTGTTCAGAGAATCAGGTGCAAGAAAGACAAACACATCTGAGTGAAACTTACAGAGAGATCCCTTATGTCCTCCAGTTGTGCCTGCATGGGCTTTTGTAGGAGGACTCAGTGAGCAGTGTATTCAACCAAGTGCTCATTATCCTTACGATCTAGGACCATGTCAATCCAATAAGGGGTGGCTGAACCAGAATGAAATTTGAATCCTCTAGGCCCCCTTTTGGCCAGCCTGCACCTGGAAGGTATATCAACGTAGATGACCTAGTGTTGCCAGTAGTGAAAGAATGCAACATCATGCCCAAGAACGGCCAAGGCATAATTCTGAATTTTCAAAATACTTCTGTATAACCCTCCACCCCTTACCCAGAACAGTGGAAGCAGCCTAGAGGAGAGTATTCCTTTCTGGAGAAGAAAGGAATTTTTGCTCAGTGACCAAACTGCTTTACTAAGTTGACCAGAAGGAGGTGAGGGAGATAAAATAAAAAATATTTTTAAAAATAAGCTTTTTATTTTGTGATAATTGTAGATGCACATACTGTTGTAAGAAATAACAGAGATAGCTCATGCATCTTTTAACCAGTTTTCCTCAATGGTAACATTTTGCAAAATTATAGTACAGTATCACAAAAGCATGCCATGGATACAGTCTAGCTATAGACTAGCCCCTCACCACAGGATCTGTCATGTTGCCTTTTTACAGCCATGCTCATTTTCCTCCTCCTCCCACCTGCTTAACCGTTGACAATCATGAATGTATTAACTGTTTCTATAATTTTGTCATTGCAAGGAGGTTATATAAATACAGTCACAATGTATACATGAAAAACATCCAGTCTTTTACATTAAGTGAATATTAGCTGCAGGATTTTTGTAGAATAAATTGTGGACATTCCCCTCTATTCCTCCTTTTCTGAGCATTTTTATGATACTGACTTTTGTCAAATGTTTGTTCTGCATCAATTGTCATGTTTGTGTGATTTTTCTTCTTTAGACTATTAATATCAAAGATTACACTAATTGATTTTTGGGTATCAGATAAGTCTCCCATCCTTGGGGGAAATCCCACTTGGTCATAGAGTATAATTATTTTTATATATTGTTGAATTCTATTTGGTAATATTTTGTTAAGGATTTTTGAATCCATATTCATGAGGGAAACGTGTCTGTAGTTTTTTTTGTGTGTGTTGTGTTTGTTTGGTATTGTGTCGCAGCAATACAGTCTTCACAAAGTGACTGCAGAAATGTTATCTCCTCTTTTATTTTGTGGAATAGATTATGTAGAATTGGTGTTAATTCCTCCTGAAACATTTGGTAGATTTCTTCAGTGAGACCATCTGTGCCTGGAGATTTCTTTTTTGAAAATATTTGAACTATGAATTCAATTTCCTTAATATTTATAGGGCTATTCAAATGATTTCATATTAGGTGAGTTATGGTCTTTTGTGTTTTTCAAGGAAACAGTCCATTATATTTAAGTCAAATTTATATGTGTAGAGTTGTTTGTAGGATTCCTTTATCGTCTTTTTGATGCCTGTAAGGTCTGTAGTGAGATCCTCTGTTTTGTTTCTGATATTGGTAATTGTATTTCTCTCTCTCTTCTTTTTATAACTTTGTCAGTCATGCTAGAAGTTTGTCCATTATATTGACCTTTTCAAAGGACAAACCCTTTGTTAGTGTAACCTGGTAAGGGTAGGAGTCTAGGATTCCATTTGGCCTTTGCTGATGGAATTTTTTTTCTGTGGTATTTGGCTGGATTATAGTTGTTATGTCTAAACTTTTTGTGTGTGTGTGTCTTTCTAGGCTTCCCTTCCTAATCTTTTGGCTAGAGAGAGCAGGTTTTTGTTGGGCTCAAAGTCTGGGCCAGTGAGACAGAAAGAAAACCCAGGGAACTCACCATCATGTCATTCTTTGTGTCCCTAGATTATTAGCCTGTCTACCTTCTTCTTGTAACCTTTCAAAGTCTTTCTATGTTTATTTATACAAGCATACCTTGGAGATATTGCTGGTATCCAGACTGGTTCCAGACCACTGCAATAAAGTGAGTCATATGAATTTTTTAGTTTTCCAGTGCATATAAAAGTTATATTTACACTACACAATAGTCTATAAAGTGTGCAATAGCATTATGTCTAAAAAATGCTGTACATACCTTAATTAAAAAGTTCTTTGCTGCTAAAAAATGCTATCATCTGAGCTTTCAGCAAGAGTAACCACTGATCACCATAACAAATAAAATAATAATGAAAAAGTTTGAAATATTATACAAATTACCAGAGTGTGACAGAGAAACAATGTGAGTAAATGCTGTTGGAAAATGGTGCCACTAGGCTTGCTCAACAGAAGTTTGCCAAAACTTCAATTTGAAAGAAATAAAATTATTTGAGAAGCACAATAAAAAAGGGTATGCCTGTGTATTAAGTCCGATTTCTAGTTGTACTAGCAGTGGAAATAGGGAAAATTATGTCTACTTCATCTTGCAAGCAGAATTCACCAGGAATGTTTTTTTAAAGTAGTTTTTGAGGGAACTCTCCCAATAGTTAATAATATCAGCTGCCTGTCAGTGGTGATGAGTGTGGAAGGGTGGTCACATACTTTAACTAATCCACCCACTGTTGTGTAGCTTTCTTGATAAAAGGTGCCCCATTGTCAGATTACAAATGTTCTAGAAAGCCAAACTCATGATTACTTTCAATAGCAAGCTTTTCTTTGTGGGTTTCCTTGTCTGCTGGAAGGATTGGATGTTGTTAATCCACTCACATATCTTTTTACTTGGTGAACAAGGTCCTAAATTTTTGGAGTGTTTGTGGAGGTGTGATCACATTGTAATCAGGGCTACCTAGACTAAGGTGTTTGACTTGTCCACTTCGTCAGACACTGTAAGGGCCCCCCATGATCCTTACCTCCTGGTTTTTAGGAACTACAGAGACTAGACACTAGGAAGTAAGGGCACCTGTTAGATGACGTCCAGAAAGAAATTGGGAAAAAAATGAATGCTGCCAAAACCTGAGGGAGCTCAGAAGCAGGTTGTTTTCCAGTTGAGTGTTCCAATGAGAATGCAGCCTGTCAGACACCTTGACCGCAACCTTGTGAGACTCTACACAGGAAATCCAATTAACCCATGCCTCAGCTTCTGGCCCATAGAAACTGTGTAATAATAAATGCGTGGTGTTCCAGGCTACTAAATCTGTGGTAATTTATTACATTGCAATAGATAACAAATATAACAACCATGAGGACAGCATCTGTGGTATGAAAGCTTTGGACATCAGAAGGTAGAGACATACACTCACCAAATTCTGACCTACTCACTCCTGGCAAATGGTAGGTAAGTCCATGATGGTAAGTACCCATGATGTAGTACCACAAGCATAACCTGGAGACCTTGATGACGTGCTAGAATAGACTTCTCTGCATCTTGGTAGCTTCATCTGAAAATGGAGATAATTGTAGCATTTACTTCACAAGATGGTTGTATGAATTATATTTGATAATGTGGGTAAAGGTGTTTAGTACAAGGCCTGGAACCTTTCACGGTGTGTGGCCCAAATGAGTGTTGCTCTAGGCATTTTAATATTTCAGTGACATCACTTTTCTATCATATCCTTACATTATAACAGGAATTGATTTGCAGACCCCTCCCCACCCCAACTCATTAACCAACCAGTCAACCCCTACACGATTTCCCCAGGATCAAAGTATCATTTGGTGCTGTTCCAGCTAGATTCTCACAGAATGAGGCAAGATTTCCTGTTTTTCTACAACTACCATCACCTAGCAAAAAAAAAAAAAAAAAAAAAAAAAATCCCAACGGCAACCAAGTCTCCCAAAGCACTGCTGTGACTAAATCACTCCTATAACTGGGCTTCTCCGCAGAAACACTCACCTTTCATGTTAATAAGGACTTCAGTGAAGGATTCATTAACTTCCCCTCGCGCCCTCCCTCCCCCGTCCCCCCAACAAAAGAATACTATCTCCAAGCAACAGGCTCTTGAATTTTATTATTCGCTCCCTGGAGAAACTGGGAAGTGTGAAGTCCTCAGGCCTGGCCTGAACGCCCTTTAGGGGCGTGGGCATCCCGGGGCCCCAGTCCATTCCACTCGGAAATGTAGGGGATTTAAGCCAACTCCGGCGCGCCTTAATTCCATCCCAAGAACAGACCGCAATTATTGAGTTTAAACAAACCAGCCTAAAGGCCTAAAAGCATGAGCATAACGCGAGCCGGGGCAAGAGTAAATCCTGGGTGCGCAGGAGCCCCTGAGGACCCCAGCCCCTCCCGGGCCCGCTGCCGCTGCTGAGTGCCACATCAGCGCCCGCGCTGCACTTCCAGGTTCCTATCGAGGATGGAGCGAGCTAGCCCGGCGGGCGGGGGCGGGCCCAGGCCTGCGAGAGTGGAGGCCTGGCTGGCCAATAGGCGGCAAGCAGGGAGTCGCGGCCACCAATGAGCTGGAGCTTCGGGGCCGCAGAGGCTTCCACGGGGGGTGAGTGGGGGGGACCAGATGAGGCACATCTGGACAGCTGCGCTGAGGAACTGTGCGGCCCCTTCGCGGGCCCGACGTCAGCGGAGCACGTCCCCCACGTCCTCTCCTGCTAGCCACTTACTATTACTCATATTCCCAAAGAAGCAACCGAGGATCCAGGCTTAAAACTTTTTTTCCCGGCTAATTGAGACCGGGCCAGATCCCATCCAGCGCACAGTTTAATTTTCATGGGGCTCTGGGATCAAAAGAACAGAAACAGCAACAACAAAAGCCCAGCCGCTGTCTGATTTAAAACTGGCCAAGTGAGAAAAATAGTGTTGAGTAAACAGACCGAGTTGGGTAAGTTTTGGAGATGTGCTGGGTATTTTATTTCTCCCGCTGTGATCTCTCTCCTGCGTCTTTTTTGCTGTTCTCATCATCTTCTCTTCCTCAGAGAGATGAAAATATCTTTCGCTGCCACAAACTGCACAGACCGTCGGCTTCCTTTTCTTTTGTTTTGTTAATAATTTAATTTTTTGGTTACTTGTGTGTTATTTTAAAATTTCCTAGGGAGAGAAGTTTAACTGGTGTCCTGTTTGTAAGCCTCTCCAAACATCAAAGCTGAATCTACTGTCAGATTTATTTTTCTCTTTTCTTTCTGTTAGAACAGAGTATACATTTGTAAAGCTGAAGTTTTTATCCATCCCCCATTACCCTGAGTGTTTTGATAGAAGATTGAGAAAGTTATCAGACTTATTCTGAATTAACAAAAATCTTTGCTTCTGTTAATTGGATGTTTAATATTAAGTGACTTAAATTCTGAATTATATAGGTAATTGCTGTTTCACTTACATGTATATGTAGTTGCAACCCAAATATATTTTTTCTATATTCTCCTATTCATAGTGGGAGGTCCAAATTCCTTTATGATAGTTAAAAAGCACATTAAATACATGACAGACAACTGTGTGCATCAGTAACTTTATAATTGTATGTTAATCCCATAATTCTATTGTTATGCCAAGAGACACAGACCAATCGAGACCACTGAAGCCAAATTAAGGGAGGCTTTATTGCTGGCCGGGACCACACAGAGTTAACACAGAACTCTAAACATGTGGCCCCTAGTCCAAGGACTTAGGGCTTTTTATAATGAGCAAGCAGGCAAGTGGGCAGTACAGAAGCAGTATTGAGTGGTTATTGTACAAAGACTACAGAGTGATAAAGAGAGCAGCCCTTATGCTGGTATGTAGGAAAACACTTGTTATTTTGAAGGTAAGGTTTAGGGTTGTAGGGGAGTTTTAAGGGAATAGCCATTATCTCAAGGACAAAGTATGCAAACTGTGTCATAAATAACCATTAGCAGGGGATATTAACCCTTTTTTTATTTGTTTTTTTTTGTTTGTTTCTTATTTGTTTTTTTCCTTGCACCTGAGGATAGTCCCCTAGCTCTCTGAGTGCAGGCCCAGAAAGTAAACTCTGGGTCAAGATGGAAAGACTGATGCTAAACTCATGTGCAACATTCCCCACTGGCTTTTAGGTATATGAGTCAAATCATGGACTCATCCTCTTAGTTGAGTCTGTTGTAGGAAGACCTTAAGACCATTATCGTTTCTTGCCGTGGTTAGGAGCCCCCATTTTTTTGTATAGGGATCCATGAACATGTGCTGTGGTGAAGGCATACTGGCTGTCCATATAGATGTTGACAGTTTTTCCTTTCGCCAGCCTTAGTGCCTGAGTTAGGGCAATGAGTTTAACTTTTTGTGCTGAGCTCCTATGCCCTAGTGCCTGGGCCCAGACTACTGTTTCCTGATGATCAACTACTGCTGTCCCTGCTCTTACAAATGGGTCCCAGATTAGAGGCAATCAATACCAACAGAATATCCTATCCATAAGAGGAAGGTGAGTGTGAACAGGAACCTCTCACTATTTTCCCAGCTTTCTGGGGTAAGCTCTGCCAATTCAATGGCAAATAATAAGGACAGTCTATCTTATCAGAATGGTGATTCTTCAAGCTTCTGGCATGTGTAGACCAGCCAGCTTCTGGGGTGTGGCTGGAGTAGGGCTGGAGATCCTAGGGGCTGGTGTCTTTTTGAGGGTCAGTTTAAGCAGGTTGACTGGACCTGGATCACTTCACCAGGTTGAGGGTTCTTCTGAGTTGGCCTACTTAACTCCAGAGTGATGGTCCCATGGTGTGATACCTGAAACTTTAATAAGAGCTGAATCCTTTGCTTGGTCGAATATCTGTGAAGTCTATCTCCAAGTCTTTGAAAGGGGTGACCCTCATCCTTTAAATAAACTAGATATCTTGGGTTTATATAGGGTGGGTTTCTAGTAAATGTCAGATCAGGTTTAGGGAGGATATGGTTTGCATATTTAGAGATCCATCCTGTTGTTTAAATAATCATATGCCCATTGGGTCTGCAGTCTTATTATCATCCCCACAGAATAACAAGCATAGACAATTGTGTATACATGACTACTATGACAATTTTTCTAATTAGACAAGTTGTCTAATTTAGGCAAACAGCAAACATTTAAAGACAACCAGAACTAGAATTTAACATCCATAATGGTGCATTGTTGAAACGTAGTTTTTCTCTCTAAAAACCCCCATTTCCAGAGATAGACAAATTGAGACTAATGCATTTGTAGAACAAGTCCAGTCTTAACAACCCTGGCCTAATTATTTACATAAGCCCAGCAAGAATAGCTATTGTTCATGAGGATCTTTCAAAGTCTACTTTGCTGGGACCTTTTATAAGGAATCTCTAGGTTGAACTCTTAGTAGCCTCTCCAGACCAGAAGCCAAGCCAGGTACTTCCCATTAGACAGGCCTGCAATACCTGTAGAATTGGGTGAATCCCTCTTCATGAAGTCCCCAAGATATCCTGAGGTTCCTGCACCTGCCAGCAAGTGACCTTCTTTACTCACCTGGGGAGACTGTTGGGAACTCTGTAATCAAGGTATCCAGCCAAAATTTCCAAGGGCCTTTATGGCTCCATGTTTCATAAAGTCAACCTTAGTTCCTTAAAGCTATCTGGTCATATCTGAGTCTATGCGTGACTCTCAAATATGACATTCCAGTCAATGCCTTGGTAAAATAACCAGTATTTCCAATTGTGTCCTGTTACAAGATGAACAGATTCTTATCAGCCTTATGTAAACAATTGTAATTTCCATAAAAGAAAGAATATTCACTGGGAGTTTTTGAATTTTAGAGGGTTTAGGTAGAGAGAAAAGATAAATGCTTCAGTTTACAAATGAATAGTTTATGACATTTCTGTATATCATAGGTATCTTAAGAAAAAGTTTCCTTAATCTGGATAAGCAAACATTAGAGAACCAGCAATATTTCCAGCAAAAGTCACAAAACTATAATCTTCCTCAGTTTATTTAGTCCCATGTTTCTAATTCTTGTTCAGTTTGAATGCAGCTTTTTAGCTCTGGAAATTCTTACCCATTTAAGTATTAATCTTAAAGATTTATTATAAATCTCTTTGAAGAAGAAACACATTGTTTTGAGGGAATAAGAACAATTATCTCTGACAAAATCTCAGAAATGGACATTGTTAAAGATCTGATGAGAGTTCATTATCATGCAACTGACAAAGAAATTCTGTTATTTCTGTGACACATAACACTCAAGTAATCAGAATATTAAGTGATAACCTTATAGCAAAACATTAAAACTTTAGGAATTGCATGTATATTTGGGCAGTTACAGCATTTACCCATGCAATACAACCTAAGGTTTACCATGTATGACAGTGCTTTCCCAAGTAACTTAGGATCCCAAATAAAAGGGTCTGATTGATCAAGAGACTTCTTTTACCATTCAAATCTTGGGAAGTTTGTTAAAACCTTAGGAAGTTATAAAGCACATCTTAAATAGGATTACAGATCATTACAAATCTTAAAACTGTATTAATTCAACCAAAGTGGCAATAAAAGATCCTAAAGGCGAATGTATAGCATTATATAGTTGTGAGCAAAACCTAGCTCCTTTAACATTGAGAAGTTTTAACTAAACAATCAAAGACCTGATAAAGATGAAACTGGTTTTCTTGGCAGACAAAAGAGAAAACCTTCATTTACATTGTCTTACCAAGAGCAGATCACAATCCAAGAAAACTTTGTCTTTTGAACAAAGAGAAAAGCAGTGTTTCAACCTTATACCAGTGTATTTTTAAAATTTCATTTATCTTAACCTTAGTCCATCTGAGCACACATAAAATTTCTTTCTAAAGAAATTTTACAAATTTTTTTGCTTTAAACTTTGTCACAAAGCCATTTCTCTCCAAACTACCAGTCTCATTTAGGACAAAATTACTTTCTTTTACCCTCAACAAAAATGTATTTCTATTCCTCATATCTTTTCTACATATCTCCCATTTGCCTACATACAGGGTTGCTTTTCTTATTTTTCATCAGTCTTAAGTACACTTAGGAATATTTTAACTGGTAGAAACCTTAGTCTCCCATAGTAATCAGTTGTGAACTCTATGTTATATTAGAAATTTTTAGATGCAAACATGAATCCATTAAGCACAAAGCATGTTTTCGATAGTTCCAAATATCCTTAGTTTTTTTTTGCAACAAGTGAGAAGCACAAACCTACATCTAGTAATTAGTAGTTTAGCTTCTTATCTCGTTAGATAGCCAATGAATTCAATCTTAATTTATCATACAAGCAAAACTGTTTAATGTTTTAGGTTACCAAAGACTTTGAAAGCTATCTTAACAATTACCTGTGAAAACTTTGAGACAGACAAAATTAACCATCATTTTAGGTCATCCTTTTGTTAACAAACTGGAACAAAGACAACAGGAGCTTATTTGACCTTCAGCAAATCTGGGTAGAATACAAGTTTGTTTCTTTTTTGCTTTTTTTTTTTAATGTTGATAAACACTGTTTATCTCAAACCAACAAACTTAAATTAACTTAAACAGTGAATATGTTTTACTTGAGTCCACATAAGACACTTTGTTCCCCATAGTTAATTTTGACCTGGAAAGTTGGTGGGGAAATCTGACTTAGGTGGTCTTCAGTCTTCGCTCCTCAACATCTAGGGTAGGAGGAGGAGCTGATGTTGCCTGAGAGCTTGAGGAGTCAGTTATGCAGGCCGCCCCCACCCCCACCCATCCACCCAAGGAAGGGCAAAAGAGGAGAGGTGCCAGCAGAAGGCAGAGAAAGAGAATTCCCAGTTTTAAATTTTGTCAGCTCAGACAGAGGAGCAGACTTCAGGTTTCTTTTGTTTTATTTTTACCAATGTAATTAGGCAGTCCATGTCAGTCCAGAGAAGACAGGGAATTTCCCTGAAACAAAAGGAGTTTCAGCAGCTGCTTGGGAATATTCC